GGGGGGGGGGGGCAACCCACGGGAATTACACTTATACAGTAGCATTCAACATGGTACATCTCAGCCACAAAGTAAGTACAGTCGTAGAGAAATCACTGTTCTAAAACGAAACGAGCTGCAGCGCAATGTTCCATGGAAAACGTGTTGTAACCTAAAGCACAATTCTGTAAGCTTCTTTCGCTACTTTGCAAGTGCAGTAAACAGTAACTAGGGTACAACATGTTATAGAAAAGATCAAGTTATGCTATCTGTAGTTATTCAAGCCTTAAAAAGTTGGCTTGAGCGGTGGGAGGGGGGAAGGGTCGGGCATATGCGATTTAAAGAAAGCTCCACAAATGCAAATTTGGGCCATGACTGTTGTCCGTGATTGTAGGCAGAATCACGTTTCGCAACAGTCCACGGCCTTTGACTGACGCGCTATCCTTGAGCTCGCTCGTATGTGTTCCGTTTTCGCAGATTTCATGACTGTAAACATATAAATGGATAAATCAGAATGACGTTGATCCTTTTGAAAGATACCGCTGACAAAAGTGATTCCAAAGCTGATTCTTGAGGGCAGCATTAATTCACTCCTTTTCTGCGGTCTCGCCAGGCAACCCAACTTTACTGTGCTGTCCATTAGTAACACCCTCATTGTTATCCTCTACTTCACAGAGTTGACTGTCACCTTGATTACAATCTATAGGCCAGCGACTTCTTGATGTTTCTTTACCACAAATAATAACAAAAAGCAAGGCTGCAGCAAGAAATTCTACAACCGCACACAAGATAAAAGATGGTACGTAAGTGTTCAGACGATCCGCCATAAAACCTACAAGTACAAAAGAGAAGTATTGATTGTCAAAATAGTTCTAATATGGCTCAGTTGATCCCAAGCGTGTTCAGTCCCCCGGGCAATCATTATTAATTTTTGTCTCAAGATAGCTGCAAATGCTCCACGGTGTGGTCAGTAGTTTTAAATACAAAAAACATGTGCCTGCGCAAGTCGTCAACAGGTCAAAGCATGTATCGTTGATCTGATCGTGATTGGTCAATCAGTAAGTCGTGATGTTATGGGCTTCTACCAGTCAAGCCGTGATGTTATTGACTGTAAAGGCTCTAGCCGAGAGTGGTGCGTGTTGGTCGGTGTTGTGCCAATGTAATATCTTCATTGACCAATCAGGTGAAAAAAAAGGACAATGAAGCTTTCCGGGGTGTCAGTGTCTATTTTATTAGTATACGCAAAAAAGCTTCAAGTCAAATCTCGTAGTCGTAGTCGTTCGTCTCGTCCTCGAATCTTAAGGTCTTTATAAGGGGGGGCCTTCGGACCTCAGTTTGGTCTAAAAATAAGGGAAGGTGTGAGCCCCCTGGGCCCCTCTCCTGGATCCGCCACTGGTTAGTAACGTCTGCGCCCTGAAGCAGCACCGATATCCTTGTTTATAACCCTCAACGGACTCAACGAATTACCGGAAATGTGTTTCGAATTTTTCCTTTCATCTTGATTGGCAAACCAACAATGGCTTATTTAATAGGCCAATCATGGTGCATACTCAAATCCTGGTACACAGCTGAGGGCCCAGAACAAGGATTTCAGTGCTGTTTCACAGACTGACTTAACCACCCCATGCCACGGGTGGGCAAGAAAATTCAGAAAGGGGGAGAACACTTGTGTTGCCATTCACAGAAAAAGGGGGCAGGGTGGCCCAGCCCTAATCCATCGCCCATGTCGACCAACCTAACAATAAAGCTCTTTTGCAGACTATCCAATCAGAAGCATTATTTTGTTCTAAGTACCTGCCAATGGAGGGCCAGTTGCTGTAGTAATTCCATAAAACAGTGCGCTTACACCAAACGCTGATGCCCTCTTGCTTGGCTCCACACAGTAGAGTATTAAAATATTAAAGGTACCTATGACAAAACCATCTGCCAGACCATAAAGAAAGGAGAATACGATGAGATGTCCATAGTTCTTAGCTTGGGAAAGAAAGATAACCGATGAGCCATCTAGAATGAAACCAAACATGAACACATAAAATGAGTTTACACAACGCATGTTGCAAAGAATTCCACTGAGCAGGCGACTGATGAATGTTGTGATGCCAATATAAATAAACAGCCTTGATGCAGAGTCAGCTGATATCCCTAGATCTTCAGCAAATTTCACCTGCAAAATTATCATTGGAAAATGTCGTCAGTTGTACTATTGTCACTACTCCCTACAATTCTATATGCACTGAGACACATTAATGCAAGGACTCCGCCGTTTCACACAAACCCTTTGCAGTCAACTTCAGTCGTCGCAGAAAATATTTGGATGGACTGGATGAACTAATAATTTAATTTATAAGTGGTTTTTAAAAAGTGATGCATGATGGGTACTCACCCCCACCCACTTTACCACCATAAGAGATGGCCAGAGATGTGGAAGAACAAACTTAAATTAACAGAAAACAAAAGACAGGGTTTTCAGAAAATTTTGAAGTAGACGGCTGAGTTGTCAAAGTAAGCGGCCAGTCCAGGGATATTTTTTTTAAAAAACATCATCTGTAAAGAAATGCCAAGCAGAGTAGCCAGCAGATACTAACTGAGTAGGCGGCAATTTTCGCCAGCAGCCAGCTACTTTTGACAACCCTGAAAAAGAAATCAGTTTTACTTCTGAGTCTGATCTCTTCTGCCGCTTGTTGTTCATTATAATTGTGCTGTCAGGACCAAAAAATCTTTCTTTAAGTCTTTCATAGTCATGGAGTTTGTAGTTGAACCTCATTAAGTTTGGCGGGGATTATAATTGCTGACCCTGTTCGAGTGCTGTCATTTTGAGGAGAGAATGCATGGAACTTGTGTCAAATGGAACACGTTCTTACCGTGATAGACAAATAATCCATCCAAATAAAATTTCCAGCTTTTTTGGTTAATGAAAAATGTCCCTGATGTCAAATTCACTTTTTGTTTCACAAGTAAAAAAGGGCAATTTAAAAAGAGAATCTAGCAGTTTATCACAAGTCACTAACAGCTTTTTTCTATACACCCCTGGCACTTGTAAGCTTAGAGTTATAGAGTGCAAGTAGACTTTTACTTACCAAATGTAATCTTGGAGCATGTTGTCCCAGAAATGCTACTGTGTAAGCTAGTGTTAATACAACAAATGTCTTTTCCTTGAATATAGAGAAATTCAGCCATTTTTTCTGTATTTCTTCTTTACCATCATTTTTTGCATGATTCACTGCTAAATTTTCTGTTTCTCCTTCCCCATCCTGTTCTGTTTCTTTCACTTTTCTCTTCAGTACCGCAGGATCAAAAGTCAAACACAATAAACAAACAACTGAAAAGATTCCTGCCATGATGCGATACGTTTTTCTCCAATCATAATTATCTAGTAAGGCTTGAAGGAGCGGTGCAACAACTAACACTCCTGTTCCAGTTCCTGAGGCCACAATTCCAGTTGCTATGGCCTTCCTCTTATCAAAGTACAAGGAGATCACCACATAACTGGAAACAAAGAGGCAGCTACTGCCAAACCCAAATGGAATACTGTAGGTCACATACATAAGAGCAATACTTGATGGAAGAGATGACAGTAGTAAGCTGGCGATGCATGTTATTGCTCCTGTCAGAGCTGTTCGACGGCAGCCAAATCGATTAACCAACATGCTGGTGACAGGTCCAAGGGCAAATATACAAGCTATTCCAACAGAGCCAACCCAGGCTGTGAAAGAAAAACACTTTTTAAATCTCTGTGACCAGCAAAGAACAACAGTAATGTCTCTTTAACGCAGAAACTGTTGGGAGTAACAACAAGTGTCTGTCCTTATAGAAGTGTCAATATTAGTGGGAGAGGACAGGGGGTGGGAGTTTAGAAGAATAGGGCGCAGGAGTGGCACAGGAGGAGACAGAGAGGAAAGAGCAGGAGTTGGGAGTTCTAACAGGGTGGGAAGCGGGAAAAATAGAGGGAAATTATGCAACAATGCTTCATATTTTGAAATCAAAGAAAGGGGTTAGGGGAGGAAAAGTACAAGGAGTGCAAAGTACGGGAGGCAAGTCAGGCTTGGACCCTTACAACATAAAAATGCTGCTGTTGTTGTCAATTTCATTGTTTGCCAAAATACAACTTCTTTCAACAGAATTTTTCTGTGAAGGCACGATGCAACCACTTTCTGTTTTTTGAAGTCTGTAGTATTGGTCCATGTGCTGACATGTTAAATAGTTTTCCACTTTTGATAGCATTTTCAAACTTCAGACGTTTCTGGTTTCGGTTAATGCTGTTTTCATGGGATTCGAGTGGACAGGAGGCAAGAACGGGAACAAACTTTTGAGTTGTCAATGCGAAAAGGATACTGTGGACAGGGAATTGAAGAGAAAGAAGAGAGTATTGTTCCCTTGTTAACGTTAAAAGCATTAAAGAGAAATGTGTTTACAATTACTGCATATGTGATGTTTATGTGCCAATTCTGTCAATCTGCAACCAATTGATACCAATTGATATCAGTTATTTATCTATCGATTGTTATTGAAAATCGATACCAATTGATAACCACATGAATCTTCGCCAATGATTGGCCATCGATTATCAATATCGATTGGTATTGCTTGATACCAGTTGTCATCGGTTATCGATTTCATCCATTGGATACCCCGGGAATATAGTAGAACCTGCGTCAGGACCTCTATTTTAAGGTCATCTTGCCTTCAGTGACCTATGGTCTTATACTATGGGGATCCTGCTGCAATTCCGACCTATTTCAGTCCCTGGAAAGACTTCACTGCAGGGCTGCGAGACTTATCTTTCATTTGCCGAAAGACATGGCATCTGCTGATGTCCTACAACTGGCCCAATGGCCGACTCTGTCTATTTATTATAAATTAGCCATTTTTATCTGTCTTCATAAAGCTTTCCACGATAGGTTACCTGTCACATTAATCGACCTGATTTCTAAGAAACGGGCCACAAACTATTCAACCCGGACTTGCGCTTCTTTAATTGTTCCACGCTTCAACACGCGTTACATGAAAGACTCTGTCGCGTTTAGAGGCTCAGTCCTATGGAATGCAGTGACCAACAACTGTAGTGCCCTGACAAAAAACATTCCTTATCGTGATCTCAGGCTAAAGCTTAAATCTCAAGCTAATTTTAATGAATTCAGCTTTAAGATAACGTCTGCATCCACTTGTAATTTTAGAAAAGATGACTTTGTATATACTTAAATTTATGCTCATAATTCCATATTACTAGGGGTATATACAGACATATAGGGGTATATACAGACAAAATGTTTGAACTAAATTAACGCTTACAAATTTTGTAAGCGTTAATTTAGTTCAAACATTTTGTCTGTATATACCCCTAGTTTTTAGCTTTTTTAGTTTACTTGTAATTAGTTAATTGCAAACGACCCCACAAGCTCATGTAGCTTTAATACTCATCGTTTTAAAATAAAGGCTATCTATCTATCTACCTCCATAACTCGAACTCGGATAACTCGAATTCCCCGCTAACTCAAACTAAATTTCCTTTCCCTTGATCAAAATTTCACTGAAATTTACTCCGATAACTCGAATTACGCGCTAAGTCGAACTGTTTGTCGTTTCCCTTCAGAGTTCGATTTACCGGGGGTTTAATGTAGTTACAGAGGTCACTTATTCGCACTTGAATTTTACACAGGACAACCACCAGATTTAAACAGGAGGTCTCCTTTCAGATATTGGTAGAAACACAAGTATAAGGGGTCTTCAGTCTTATAACTTGCCTGTTCTCTCACGTGTTTCTTGAAAATAATTCATCAACACTGGAAACAGAATTCCAAAATTCAGCGTCATCCCAAAAAACAGCCCGACAATGATAGTGGCACAACAGCAAACAATCCATGACCATGGACTGTCGACCTCTTTCCTACAAAGATTACTCCATGAATCTGACAATAAAATACCACGTCTTGTCGGCATTCCACTGAGTTTGTCAAAGTGCTTTTGAAGCAAGGAAGACCCTCCTCGATTTTCGCAGTTACCAAGAGATGAAGTGTTAACAATATGCTTCAAAGGAAGGAACGTGGGAGCGGGAGGCACTGTTCCCTCTGCACAACTCCGCACCTCATAAGGGACGGATTTGAAAATTACGTCGAAAATATACTAAGGGATGGGAGGGTAGGAAAGGGTAGTTCTTTTCTTCTTTTCCTCTTCTCATTCTCGAAAACTCCGTGGCAGCTAGGGGCAAGGAGCTTTTCCTTGGGAAAAGTTACCAAAAATCAGCAGTTTTAAACATTTGCCCATAAATACCCCGCCGTCCTGGCTAACTGCCCTGCTTGTGGGTCGCAGCATCCTCGGAGACCCAGGGGCAGATAGTGGGGACGAGGGAAAGTCTAAACGGGCGGAAAAATGTGGCGCGAAGAAAAGTAAAGAACAGCAAGAAGAGCTCTTCTTGCCGTTCTTTACTTTTCTTCGTTTCATATATATTTTTCCGCCCGTTTAGACTTTCCCTCGCCCCCTTTATCTGCCCCTGGGTCTCCGAGGATGGGGTCGTAGGGGATGTGCTTTTCCTGGCCTTTCCTGAGTTCGAAGACTTCCGAAACACAAAATTTATTTAAAGAAATACGAATACATCATAAAACTGATTTTTAAATGAAAATCAAAATAACTACGGTCCTAGCATGGTCTAAAGGAGTCTAATCCTGGCCCTGTACTGGTCTACTCGGGAGGGGTGCGAATTTGACTGTCGCCCACCCGCTAAGTAGTCCTGTTGTTCGAGCATGCGCATTGTTGCGTCATTAGGTAAACAGCCCAACAAGCAGCTCGCCCAAGCGGTTATGGCGTATGTAATTCCATAAAACAGTGCGCTTACACCAAACGCTGATGCCCTCTTGCTTGGCTCCACACAGTAGAGTATTAAAATATTAAAGGTACCTATGACAAAACCATCTGCCAGACCATAAAGAAAGGAGAATACGATGAGATGTCCATAGTTCTTAGCTTGGGAAAGAAAGATAACCGATGAGCCATCTAGAATGAAACCAAACATGAACACATAAAATGAGTTTACACAACGCATGTTGCAAAGAATTCCACTGAGCAGGCGACTGATGAATGTTGTGATGCCAATATAAATAAACAGCCTTGATGCAGAGTCAGCTGATATCCCTAGATCTTCAGCAAATTTCACCTGCAAAATTATCATTGGAAAATGTCGTCAGTTGTACTATTGTCACTACTCCCTACAATTCTATATGCACTGAGACACATTAATGCAAGGACTCCGCCGTTTCACACAAACCCTTTGCAGTCAACTTCAGTCGTCGCAGAAAATATTTGGATGGACTGGATGAACTAATAATTTAATTTATAAGTGGTTTTTAAAAAGTGATGCATGATGGGTACTCACCCCCACCCACTTTACCACCATAAGAGATGGCCAGAGATGTGGAAGAACAAACTTAAATTAACAGAAAACAAAAGACAGGGTTTTCAGAAAATTTTGAAGTAGACGGCTGAGTTGTCAAAGTAAGCGGCCAGTCCAGGGATATTTTTTTTAAAAAACATCATCTGTAAAGAAATGCCAAGCAGAGTAGCCAGCAGATACTAACTGAGTAGGCGGCAATTTTCGCCAGCAGCCAGCTACTTTTGACAACCCTGAAAAAGAAATCAGTTTTACTTCTGAGTCTGATCTCTTCTGCCGCTTGTTGTTCATTATAATTGTGCTGTCAGGACCAAAAAATCTTTCTTTAAGTCTTTCATAGTCATGGAGTTTGTAGTTGAACCTCATTAAGTTTGGCGGGGATTATAATTGCTGACCCTGTTCGAGTGCTGTCATTTTGAGGAGAGAATGCATGGAACTTGTGTCAAATGGAACACGTTCTTACCGTGATAGACAAATAATCCATCCAAATAAAATTTCCAGCTTTTTTGGTTAATGAAAAATGTCCCTGATGTCAAATTCACTTTTTGTTTCACAAGTAAAAAAGGGCAATTTAAAAAGAGAATCTAGCAGTTTATCACAAGTCACTAACAGCTTTTTTCTATACACCCCTGGCACTTGTAAGCTTAGAGTTATAGAGTGCAAGTAGACTTTTACTTACCAAATGTAATCTTGGAGCATGTTGTCCCAGAAATGCTACTGTGTAAGCTAGTGTTAATACAACAAATGTCTTTTCCTTGAATATAGAGAAATTCAGCCATTTTTTCTGTATTTCTTCTTTACCATCATTTTTTGCATGATTCACTGCTAAATTTTCTGTTTCTCCTTCCCCATCCTGTTCTGTTTCTTTCACTTTTCTCTTCAGTACCGC